ATAGACAGAACCAAAGAAACAAACACACACACACACACACTTAAGCCCGCGCAACAGGGAGAGCTTGCGCTGAGCGGAGCAGAAAAACGAAAAAAAAAAAGAAGCACTTTTCCGACGGTCCCTTACTGAGAGCTCCTCTCAGCGCGAGCTCTCCCGGCTAAGCACATATTTCGAGGGCTTAAACGAAGCAGTGCTCGTAATGTCGAGCGGAAAAAAAGAACGACAGCTGTGATACATAACCAGCTTTGTCTTTCTGTAGGAAACACATTTTAGATCTTTTTAGGGTAAGAGGTTTTTGAGTTAATGCCGTCTATAACTGAATGTGTGTCAGGAACATCGAAAACAAAACCAACTAAACCGCGCTCATTTCTGGCGCCCCCCTGGATATACAGCACCCTTAGCATTTGCCTATGGTGCCTATGCCACGGGCCGGCCCTGAGTTGCCTGAGTGTTGTAAATACTCGCGCTCACCTCCCCCACGACAGAGTGCATAGGAGATGAATGACGTCAGTACATAATAACCGGTTATGATTATTACTGAACCGATACCGAATTGTCCGCGTCTGCATCACGGTGCACTGAAAAAAACAATTAATTTTGACACCCCTAGTAAATAGCAAAGTAATTTTTATTTTTGGGTGAACTATCCCTTTAAGCAGCCAAAGCGGTATAAATACACACAAAAGGAACAATGACGACAGCCGATTAGAGATCCTTGTCCTCAAAATCCCAGTCAGAGGAACATTAGAGTCTGATAAATCAAACAGCACGTTTTGAGAAGCATTCCAGACTGATTTTACACTCAAGAAGAAAGTGAAAAATTCTCTCACAAGGGGAAGATTAAGCGATTCGGGATGAGCATGGTAAATCACTCCAATTTAACTGTCCAGCATCCACAATTTCATGAGGTCTTGTGGGTTACGCCTCCAGGTCTTTATAAGCAGTGAGAGACATGGGAATTTGGCTGTGATTTGTGATCTTACAGGGAACAGCTGAAGTAAAAAAAGTTGTGATTCATTGTAAAGCACAAGATATGCCATTGAAATGTTGACACAATGCAAAAACTTGCATCATATGTATGAAGAGCACCAACATACTGTAAAGGCGTGTTCACACCAAGCATGATAATGATAAATATCAATCTGGAATTAAAACAGCAGCAAAGATCAGGCCACAGCTATAACAATAAATACATATAGAACCATCGGGCTCTATTTTAAACATCTAAGCACATGGTGACGATACACATTTGCTATTTTAAGTGGAAAAATAGTCTGCGAACTCAGCGCATTCTCTGAAAGGGTTGTCCTTATTTTCTTAAGGAGTTATGGGTGTAACATGCATTAAACCAATCAGAGTGTCATCTCCCCTGCCCTTTAAGAGCAAATTGTGTTTGGACCTAGCAGATTCGCTATTTACATGGTGGATTTTGTAAGCAGAAAAGCTGAACGCTAGCAAGCAGGCATGCATGTGCGCAAGATTATAGAGCAGGGGTTCTCAAACTTCATCCTGGAGGTCCGGTGTCCTGCAGATTTTAGGTCCAATTTGCTTCAACACACATGCAAGGATGTTACTAAAAAGCCTTGTAAAAGCTTGATTAGTTAACCCAGGTGTGTCTGATTGGGGTTGGAGCTATAAACTGCAGGACACCGGACCTCCAGGACCGAGATTGTGAACCCCAATAACAGACCATCTACAGAAAAGGCAGATTTCACCAAAGCTTCCTGAGGTGAAGAGGGCATTGGAGGAGGTAGCCTTTTATATTTATGTTTAGAATAAAAATCTTTTACATTTCTAGCATTTAATTTTTCATATTTAAAGATATTTCTGTGCTGCTGCGCATCCCTGTGTATGTGATAAGCAATGTGTTAAAGAACAGAAAATTAACTGTGCTCCTTGTGCCGTATAATAGGGTCCAAGATCATAGGGATCACTTTCAGAACGATTTTTTCCCAGCTAACAAATAATAAACAACTGGCAGCCAGTTAGAATCCATTTAAATATAAAGGGCTCTTAAAATTTAAAGCTACTGACAACATTGTGGAGAAGCTGATTGACGTAAAGCCCTCGTTTCAAATATTATTTAGCAGTAATGACCATCTAGAAAACAAGTCTAACAACTACAATCGCTAAATTGTTTGATTAGATTATTACATTTTTAATAAAAACTCACTGGTTAGTAGTGCATTGAGGACACCTGCTGTTTATAAAGGGGTAATGCAGACTGAAAAAGCATAAACTAAAAATAACCAGATCGTTAATGTTCATCAGTGTGGACGCAAACATATTTTACGTTATATTTATAGTTTGCCAAACTTTTTTGCATGCAGATAGATGTTATAATTTAACTTTTAAACTTTCATTTAAAAGCAGACATTTCTGACAGTTCTAAAAAGCATTAAATCCAGATGCATCTGGTGGTAAAATATTATATACACACTCTTAATCAAAGAAATGCATGGTAGTTTGACCAAAACTGGCGTCTTTATATAGCAGCATTGACAGAGCGGCTATACAGAAATGCTGATTTCCCTTTCCTTATCAAGTGTGACTTGACTGCAGGATTTATGGGAGCCTGACACGTGAAAGCAATCACCAGAGCAGCCAGCGTGGTGACAGTGCCCATCCGCTTCAGATTAGCGTGGCTGCAGAACAATTTTCAAGTCAAGAGTGGCTTCCTTTATGAGCGCGATTAAAAAAGGAAGAGAAAAAAATCAGACAGTAAAGTAAATTAGCCTTTTCATAAGGACCATACGACTGAAAACATTAGGGTTTATGGGTTAAAAGCAGGCCAGATTTAGAATAGCATAACGGTGTCTACAGTACAGAGTTAAGCTAAGTTTTAACATATTTAACTGGAGACGTAAAATGTAATGAAGAACACATTGGCTTTTTGTTCCTCCAATTATGCAAACTTACAACGTTTCTCTGTTCATTCACGTCATAGACTGCATTAGTTTACATCTGCAGTTCTCGGCAGGCCGCATCCTGCTGTCAGCATTAAATTTGTGGCATGCGTTACGCTTAATACAACCTATTTTTACAGCCCAGGCTCTGGAAATATGTGCTTCAGCCTACATTTTTTGGCGAAACATAAAATATGTTACTCCGGGTACATTTCAATCCACGTTTCAGATGAGAGATCCACTAGAGGGTGCTGTCTACATTTCTGACAATCTGAAATCTTACATAGGGTACATTTAGTTATACGTTTCATGCACACGTACTTCTTGTGCAAGTCTAAAAGAAGATATAGGTCACCTGACCAGTAAACCACTGACCTAAACCCAATCAATAGCCTTTTCAAAAGCAGACGTAAGAGAAAAGTGCACTCAAAACACAGTTTACCTTGATTTTACATTGCTTTTAGGTTTTTTGTGGAAGCGTGCTTCAACTGAGTCTAACCCAAGCATTCTGCAGCACAGGTACAACACCATACAAAGTAAGCTCAAAAATCAAAGACAGCATAAAGGCCCCGATATACTTCAAATAAAACGGAAGAAAGCAAAAACTAATTTGCCATTTATATACGCGTGTGTGTGTGTGTGTGTGTGTGTGTGTGTGTGTGTGTGTGTGTGTGTGCAGAATAAAGCAAACAATTCATCTAGTTCAGGGGTGTCCAAACTCGGTCCTGGAGGGCCAGTGTCAAGACTTTAGCTCTCCAAGCCTAATCAAACACACCTGAAGCAGCTAATCGGGCTCTTACTGGACATACTAGAAACTTTCTGGCAGGTGTGTTGAAGCAAGTTGTACCTAAACTCAGCAGGACACCAGCCCTTTAGGACTGAGTTTGGACATCCCTGATCTAGTTTTATTCTTTTGATAAAATGCAGAAATTGAACTCTTATGTTTATATTTAGTGAACCTTAAATGGATAAACCACTAAAAAACTATCAAAATGTTCTTGGCAATTAAATGAATTAGTAAATTCTCAGTAAAACTGGAAATGCTGTGCAAATAAAAGACCATTAATGCAAACTATTTTTTTGGCCTTTGCATTTACAGTACTATGATTTATATGAACTTTAACCTTTTTGCCTCTGAGTTTAAGCATGCCTGGTGTGATACCTTGTGTACGTGTTATAAATGATAAAATAACAAACACACATCTAAAAACATGACGGGAATGAAGATGCAATAACATTTACTTTTGGCTATAAAGTTTTCTGGGGCAAAATTATTGGTCCACTAGGGGGGGCATTAATAAATTTCCGAGGCAGCAACTATTTACTATTAATTATTTAATTAATTATTTATAATAAATAAATAAATAAATGTATTTATTTTTATTTAATAATAATAATAATAATAACAACAATAATAATATTATTAATAATAATAATAATGTATTTTAAGCTTATTAAAATGCCCCCCAATGCCCCAAAAAACTCCAATATAACATGCCAATTTATAATTATATATATATATATATATATATATATATATATATATATATATATATATATATATATATATATATATATATATATAGTTCATGAAATAATATTTTTTTATCAATCATTAATTTTTAACCCCTAATTTAGTCTTCTGAAATGTAAAAAAATATATTATTTAAATAAAAAAATCTTAACTACAGTATTCAGAAGTAATATTACTTGCAGTTTCAGCAATGCTTTATTATAAATAACAATTCTCTTTATTAACTAGTGTCTTATATCCTGCCTATTTTTTAAATACTTCCAGTTCATTAGTGCGTATACATGACATATTCTGCATGATCTTATTCTACATCTCTAATCCTACCCAATACCTAAACCCATCTACTACCTTAATGACTATTAATATGCAGCAAACTACGAGTTTCTTAACCTATAAAAGTCGTAGTCAGTAGTTTATTAATAGTGAGAACTGTACCCTAATATAAAGTTTGTACACAGTTTCTACAAAAAAAGAAATCAAGCCGCTTTGTCATAACTAAAGCAGAAATCTTAAAATAGTATAAGGTTGATGCTTTGGCATCTTGTGAAAACTGTGCGCACCTGTTATAGAGCAATAGATGAGCCGCGGCGCCACTTTCCTCAACTCCTCGTACCCAAGTCCCATCTCACCCAGCTTCCCGGGCAAATAATTCTCCAGAAGAACATCACAGATTTTGGCAAGCTGACAAAAAAAGACAATGAAGTGAGACAGGCAAGGTGTGCAAAACAAAATAAAAAAGATGGAATGTATTTAAATCAAAAGGTGTAAGTCATATATAAAATAAAGATTACAAATGTTATTGTATAAACATTAAAAGCAAATGAGTCTAAATGCAGATGTCTACTTTTGATCAACTAGAAGTGAAGTAATTATTTGTTGTTCCTAAAACTTGGATAGGTGGCAAGACTTTTGTCAGGTAGTGTATATACAGGCAAGGTGAGCAAAACAAAATAAATCAAACAACAACAAAACAAAATGTGTGATGTACTTACCTCAGTTACAACTTTGATCCCCTTTGGATATTTAAGGTTAACAGCAATGCTCTGCAATTATATAAAAAAAAACATCATGAACAGGAAGGGGAACCCAACTGAATTTTTCCAAGATACTAGTATTCAGCTTAAAGTGACATTTAAAGGCTTAACTGGGTCAATCAGGTTAATTAGGCAAGTCATTGTATAACAGTGGTTTGTTCTGTAGACAATTAAAAAACAACATTGCTTAAGGGGGCTAATAATTTTAACCTAAAAAAATTAAAAACTGCTTTTATTCTAGCTCCATTAAAACAAATAAGACTTTCTCCAGAAGAAAAAATATTATAGGAAATACTGTGAAAAATTCCTGAATCGGTTAAACATTTGCCAAAAAATAAAAAAATAAAAAAAACATCACAAGAGGGCTAATAATAATAATTGTTTTGACTTCAACTGTATAAATACAACATTTACAAAAACAAGGATTATACCTTTTTGTTCCTGTTCACACTGAGAAAATAAGCACTCTCTTCACCCAGAAATGGAGGACCCCAAGCTCTCGTGTCATCTCCGGAGCCTGTCACACATTCAGAGATCAGAAACACACACTGCAAGAGCTAAACAAAGAATCAGTTCTACATGACGTTAAGCATTTAATATGATGAATATCATTACAGTGTGAGCATTTAACATGAAAATAGCATTATCAACCTCAAAATATTTGCTCTAGTGGCACGCTTAGTCAAACGATGAATTGATGTGTATGTGTGCTAAATTAATATATGAACTTTGAGGGCACAGTGCTAAATCTCTTTCACTACATTCAACAGGTAAGCAAAGATGATTTTCTTCCTTCCTTCCTTCATAGATAGATAGATAGATAGATAGATAGATAGATAGATAGATAGATAGATAGATAGATAGATAGATAGATAGATAGATAGATAGATAGATAGATAGATAGATAGATAGATAGATAGATAGATAGATAGATAGATAGATAGATAGATAGATAGATAGATAGATAGATAGATAGATAGAGCAAATTAGCCTAAATGCAGGTGTCTTCTGTGATGTTACAGTCTTTCAATTTTTGTGATAATAAAATGTGACATATGTATTTATTTTTTATTTACTATGGTGGCAGATTACTCTAAAGACCACCACAAAATTCTCAGTTTCTCTGGATATACTACAAGTAAAATAAAATGAAATAATATAAAATAAAATTTCTTCCTATTTAAAAAAAAATGAATTTATTTATGTATTTACTTATTTAGGAAAAATTAGTCAGAATAACAAATGTTTTCAGTATTTTTGTAATTGAAAAACAGATTTTCCAAACAAATAACAAATAGTAATAATTATTAATAATAATAATAAACAATATATTTATATGTAGACAGACAGACAGACTAAATAAAATAGAATAAAATAAATTTAAATAAATAAATAAATGTGAGCAAAAATACTAGCATATTTTGGGAATGACAACCTCCTCTAAAGCTAAAGCTCAAGGCATAACAGTTATATGTGACATTAAAATTAGAATTTTTATTGTATAAACATTGAAAGTAAATTAGCCTAAATGCAGATGTCTACTTTAATAAAATAGAAAGTTTTCTACCTGATTTGAAATGAAAAAGAATATTGAAATGATGTATTTAATTATTTATTTTAGTTGAAAAGGTTAAAGTATAAAACTATAATAAAAGTTTTCAGTTTTTTTGTGATTGAAAAACAGTTAGTCCACCAAATTCTGATTTGATTCTGAAGTAAATCATGGTTATTGTGGCGTCAAAAAAATATTACAAATAAAATAAATAAAAATACATTTAATAACTTTACCACAATGTTGCACATACCTGGTCGCTCAACCTTGATCACTTCTGCTCCTAAATCTCCCAATATCATAGTAGCAAAAGGTCCAGCCAAAACCCTGCATAAAAACCATAAAGCAAAAAAAAATATATATATAAATATTCACTATCAAATAACATATTTTTTCTATATTTAATGGCGAATTTGATATGAATGAGGGACTCCTACCTTGTCAGATCTAAGACTTTAACGCCATCTAGTGGTCTGATCCGACCTTCACCTGCATTCAAGGAGAAATTCATTTAGTGTAAAGTAATATTTACACCCTTAACAATCATTTAACCAATTTCAATTGTATTCTGAGAAATTATTTTATTTAAATCTAAGCTACAACTATATAATAATCCCATTTAAAAACAGCACCAAAGCTAAATTCATCACTTGGATCAATGTTCAACTTGATTATATGATTAACAAAACACTGAAATCATACGTTATCTGACTTGTCAAAGGGCAAATGGGTTAACAAGTAACTTCTTAATCCTTTAAGAATTTAGTAAGAAACTAAATTTACTTGTTTATTATATATATTTAAGTTATATACTGCATATGCATGTGTGTTTGTGTGTATACGTATAAAAGATAATCAAACAGGTGTGCAGTCACAACATCTTGCTAATTGCTAAATATCATCTACTGTCTCCTATGGAAAACAACAATGTCTCCATCAACGTATGTCATCAACTGAAGTGCTAAAATGTCAAAGTAAGCAGTTGTACACCCGTTTTTCGAGTATTAAAACATTCCTGCACACTGATGATACTGTATTATTATCATCATCATCATCAGTCCGCACTCGTGTCGTGTGCGCGTGCACTGTTAGCGGGATAATGGACAGTTGAAAACATGCTACCTTGCAGCTTTGAAGTGAATGGTCGTCTTACATTCACACAGTTCGTCTTATTCGCTTGTAGAAACTGTGATGTTTTGCTTAGATGAGATAAAACTCTGATAACAGCGCTTCCCGACATGTTGACTCAAGGTTTACGCAAGCGACGTCAGTTTAAGCCGCGCCCCCTCTGCGCGTTCACAAGAGTCTTTGCAGATTTTTTTTTTTCATATTCGCACAGCGGGTTAGCTCGAAGAAAATATTTGGTTCGACATATTTGACAGCTTATAAACTGTTGTTAATGACTGAAATAAAAATAAAATAAATGACATGAGTTTTATTTTCCTTCGGCCGATTTTGCGTTTGAAAATTAGGATGGATTTTTTCTTTCATAATATGCATTTTTGTACTGTCTGTTTTGTTTGCTGTAACCTGATATACTAATGGAAATCCACCATAAAAATCTGGAGGAAAAATTAATCCGAATCACCGATAATCGTAAACGCCTGATTGGGTAGTAGTTATGACTCATTATCATACTTCCCCGGTTCAGTGATTACATTTAGAATTGCAAACATGTCATGTATTACAAAATTTCTAAAATATTTATGTTTAAATATACAAATGAGGCATGTTAATGGTTATAATGAATTATACTGATAATAATAATAATAATAATAATAATAATATCTTATTATTTATTAAAACGATATTATTATTATTATTATTATTATTATTATTATTATTATTATTATTATTATTATTATTATTATTATTATTTTAAAAGACATGCACACACTTTCTTACATTTATAGCACAAAAATCTCATCATTACATCCAGTTCAAAATTGTTGTTTCTTTGGACCCATTAAAGAGACAGTTATGGGAATACTTAACATTTAGATAGAAAATATTGCACAAAGACAGAAGAATAATGACAATTATAATGTTCACTGTTAAATAGATGATAATGTTGTATTATAACTGAAATCTACAAAAAAATAAAACAGCTAAAATGCGATACAGGAAACTGCTAGAATTGTATTTGGGGTGTTTTTTCCATTAGTCTGAAGTCTAAAAGCCTAAAATCATTGCACTGACAAGTGCATCAAAAAACTTGCAGTATCTCGCGATAATATAGTCTAATATGATATATTCAATTATATTTAATTACATTTTATTTAATTAATTTTATTTATTATATTATTATTTATGTATTGAGGTGGCGCAGTGGGTAGCATGTTCGCTTCAAAGTAAGAACGTCACTGGTTCGAGCCTCGGCTGTACAAGTGTACAATATCTGTGTAAATGAGAGTGTTTGGGTGTTTCCCAGTAATGGGTTGCAGCTGGAAGGGCATCCACTGTGTAAAACATACGCTGGATAAGTTGGTGGTTCCCCTGAATGTGGCGACCCCTGATGAATAAAGGGACTAAGCCGAAGGAAAATGAATGAATGAATGAATATCAAATGCAGATTTATTATATTACAATACAGCGCTCGGCATAAGTTTACCCCTCACAGATCAATATTTTAAATTCATATTTTCAATATGAAGCTATACAATATTATATCTGTGCTTATATATTAGATTAGTCAAAACCCAAATCTGGAGCTTATCTATCAGAATAACTTACGTTAACAGTCCAAAAACAAGTACAGCCAAATTTGAGTTATATAAAACTATTAAATACACATTTTAAAAAGAGGAAAAATCAAGAGAAGCAAAAAAAAAAAAGAAAAAAAAATTGTAGTTTGTAATTTATTTGCAATGTTTTACTTGAATTGAATTGTTTATTTTTCAACTTCTAAATTTGTTTGTTTGGTGAGTCTGGTGACTACAATATTATTTTAATAAATATATCTGTTTAATAAATCTGTTTTGTTAAAATGCAAATGTCAAAACACATAGCCTATATTCACTGAGAAATGGAGAAAAATATTCATTTTCTAAATGGAGAGTACTCAATTATGCTGAGCACTGTATATCTTATTACAGCACAAATCCATATAGTGTCTTTTTCTGGTTTACAAAAAGACGTCATGACATCCTTTATCTACATGTAATACAAAGTTTGTGTCAGTAAATAAATACCTTAACGCCAATAAATTTATTAATTTTATAGTCAATCAAAATCAAAACTACTCTGACCAGCAGGGGGCAGAGGTGACCAATACAGCTCTATTCTATTCTATTCTATTCTATTCTATTCTATTCTATTCTATTCTATTCTATTCTATTCTATCCTATTCTAAAGCTTTGGTGACTCAATATTTTCTGCATTTTTTATGTTACAGTTATTATATAATGTATTTATATAATGTTTTTAAAACAGAAAGACAGTCCTAATATCTTCTGCAACTAAAGGATTACTAGTAAAGTGCAGTGTATATCTGTTCACTATTTTAGAACAGCAAATCTATTCAACATACAAGCAACCACGCTATATTAATTAGCTAATGCATTATGCACCGTGAACATCAAAAAAATACTAGCTATACATGTTTTTAATAGAATATTCCAATGTATATTAGTTATTAATACATTAATATATGCACACAGTTTATAAAAGTATTTAAACAACCTAAAAGTATGTTCTTCCCTTTCCACTTATTATAAATTACACCTTGGGTCTTGTAAATCTGTCAACTACCCAAAAACACACACATATGTAAAGCCACACCCCTAAAACTATGTCATGAACCAATCACGGTTGTGTCCGCGGAGGCTTTCTGGTCACGTGATTGCTGGCAGTATATATAGCCACAGTCTGGGCTGGTATAAATGAACTGCAGTAAGAGAAACAGAGCCTCTTTGAGTGAAGTGACACTGCTGCTCTGACAAATATCAAGCATGGCAGGTATGTGGAAATTAACACGCTTTCTCAGTCTAGGTTGCATCATCTGTAAATTGAAGATAATAATATTATTATTAATAAAAATAATAATAATAATAATGATGATGATGATGATGATAATGGATGTATTTGCACATTGAGCTTTTTGATTTACGTAAATATAACACTCAAAAGGGTAACACTTTATTTTGATGGTCCATTTGAGTATTACTAGACTGTCTGCTTCATATCTGCTGATTCTGCTCCTTCTACAGACATGTCAACTTACACTAACCCCAACCCCAATCTAACAGTCTACGTGTAATCGAATGAGAATTATTCAGCATGCAGATGCAATATAAATTAAATTCAACAAACGGACCATCAAAATAAAGTGTGACCCTAAAAAGTTTTAGGAACTGTGCATGTGTATTTCATTGCTTATTATCATATATCTGGAACATAGTAAGTTGTGTAATATTTTGTACTGGCATGGTTCTCCTCCTTTAGTTTTTTAATAGCAATATATTTGTCACAAATTGGACTGTAGAGTTTTAACAATTATCTGAAGAGAACAAACTGTTGTTTATTATTTTGTATGTGGTTCAACTGAATCAGACTGACTTGAGTTACCTCAACGATTCATTGAAGCGAGAATCATTTTTAAAGTGTTTGACTCGGGGAACAGAGTTGAGGACTCGATGCATAACAGGTTTAATTTTAATAGACCATTTTCATTAATTACAATTTGTGTTAAAACTCATTCGAATGAGAGATATGAAATAGTTTGTTTATTGCAAATTCAAGCAATGCTTGTTTCTGAAATGCTTCATTTTGCGAGCTGAATCATGGCTAGGACTCAAATATGATTCACTACAGTCATTTTAATAAAACCGTTGTTAAAAATGTAACAACGTGAGTGTACTTTAATATTTTGGAGGATATGTTTCTCTAAGGAAAATGGGGTTAAAGAATGACTAAATCATTGTAAACAGTTGTTTGAAACGAATAGCTAAAAGGAATCAATTCTTGAGATCAAAAAATCTTATTTTTATATCCTTTAACGTTAAATACATTTATGATGATAACTTGTGGTCTCCTCACAGACATGTACACTTACATGTGTTGTTGTATGGAAGTATGCCATGAAGTTTTGGTCGAAATCTTGACACCATGACTGAAGGGATTTAAAGGAATAGTTCTCCCAAAAATAAAAATTGCGTCATTATTTACTCACCCTTGACTTGTTTTAATATTTTATTAATTTCTTTCTTCTGGTAAACACATAAGGAGATATTTTAAAGCAAGCACTTTTATTTATAATAAAGCACTTCATTATCTGCCCAAACAGTTTGGTATAATGAACACTTGTTGTGTGTATTGCCTCTTTATGTTGAATCACTGAATGCCACCTCAATTGCAAGCCGATTAGGACAGAAGCATCTGCTATATGACTAAATGTACAAATAAAATAAAATAAAAATAATACAAATAAACTAATAAAAAAATATAAAAAATTAAATTAAATAAAATAATTAAAATAAACAAATAAATAAAATACAATAAAAATATAAAGTAAATAATGAAAATAAAATACAATAAAAATAATAAAAAATATTAAAACTAAATAAAAATAATTAAAAATATTAAAATAAAATAAAACAATAAAAATAAATAATAAAAAATAAAATACAATAAAGATACAAAATAAATAAATAAAATACAATAAAAAATAATAAAAGGTAAATAATTAAAATAAAATAAAAATATTTAAACATTAAAAATAAAATAAAATAAAATAAATAAATTACATAAAATACAATAAACACAAAAAAATAATATAAATAAATAAATAAAAAATAAATAAAACATTTTAAAAAATAAAGAAAGAAAGAAATTAAATTAAATACAAAAATATAATAAAATCAATAAAAAATAAATTAAAATAATTAATAAACAAACAAATAAATAAATAAATAGATAAATAAATAAAGAAAATAAAATACATTGAAAATACAAATTGGAAAAATAATTAAAATAAAGTAAATAAAAAATCCAGTACATTTAATTTAAATAAATAATATTAATTATTAAAAACCTTCTGATTTATTTAGCAGATCAGGCTTTTGTCACTTTGGCCACCAATGACAGCTATGCGAGAGGAGCGATGGTGCTGGGAAAATCCCTCAAGAACCACAAGACTTCCAAAAAGCTGGTGGTGCTCATTGGACCTCACGTATCGGATCAGTCAAGGTAAAACATGTTCATCTAACCCACCATATTCTGTCGCAAACTTGTTTGATCTCCAACAGAAAACATTTTTTTTTAATTCTGTAGGGCGGTGCTGCATAACATCTACGATGAGGTCCGGCTAGTGGACGTGTTGGACAGTGGAGACGCAGCCCATTTGGCCATGATGAAGAGACCTGATCTGGGTGTCACTTTCACTAAGCTGCACTGCTGGACTCTCACGCACTACTCCAAATGTGTGTTCATGGATGCAGACACACTGGTGAGTGTTATATAGTGGGATTTCCAAGCAGATTTCAAGGCAGCTGGTTAACAGAGTTCAAGTTGTGCCTTGTCAAAACATGCATGAAATATTTATAATGCGGTTAGTCCGTGTGGTTTGCAGTGTCATTTGAATTACATTGTGCCTGATTGGATGTGTGAATCTATGCACTTTGTATTATGTTTAGCTTGTTGGACTCCAAAATGATGCTTATGTGCATGCATTCAATGCAGATTTTTGTAATTCCTCACATGACACATACAGTTCCCAGCATGAATAAGAAAAATGTATAGTTTTGATAAGTTTATAAACTAGTGCATTTTTATAAGAAATAATTGCATTTATAAAATTGTTTTACCCATAAACCAATAAAGCAGATTGGGTGATGGGCATTATCAGTATTGGGCAAGCTACTTGACAAATGTAGTGAGCTAATCTATAAGCTACTCTACTTAAAATCTTGCTTAACTACACTAAAGCTACCCCCTGGGAAACGTAACAAGCTAAGCTAAAAGCTACATGGCAAAAGTAGCTTAGCTACAACTAAGCTATTTTTACAATTTTCATTTTTAAATCGAAGCAACTCAAATCCAAGTCAATCATATCTTAGAGATTAATAAAACTGTCAATGAAACATATGAGGCAGAATAGTTCAGTTATTTACAGTAAATATTATGCTGTACTAAACAGAAACACATTATAGTATATAACAGCTAAAACAAAAAATCCAATAAAAGCAGGTGTTACACATTTAAAACACTATAGTCATATATAGTAAATGGAAATTTTTTTTAAATAAATAAATATATTTGCCAGAGGTGGCAGTAATGCACCAAAAAGTTTGTTTTCGAACACCGTAAAACAGGAAGAAGAAGGAATCATCCTTCTCCCTATCATATGGATTTACTTCCATCGGCTAAACACCAGCCTCACAGCTCAGTGAATGTCGGTGCCGTCACTTATTGATCCACGATCGGTAAATGTAGCTTGTGTGGACGCTACTTGACTAATAAAATAGCTTCGCTACTGAAAAGCTATTTGATTTAGAAAGTAGCGACGCTACAGCCACGCTACTGAGAAATGTAGTTAAGCTAGTAGCGTCACTACTTATATCGACGCTCCTGCCCAACACTGGGCATTATGTATACTAATTTGTGGGCTCTGTATATCTGATGCAGAATCTAAATGCAGTAATATTGTGAACTATTTAAAGCATTGTTCATAAATGTTTATATGTTATTATTATTATTTATAATTTATTCATGACTTTTCAGCAGCATTACTCCAGTCGTTAGTGTTATATGATCCTTGAGAAATCATTCTAATATTTTGATTAGCTGCTTAAAAGGAGAGTTCACCAAAAAATGAAAATGATGCTATCATTGAATCATCATACAACTACTTGTTCCTAATGTGTATGAGGTTTTTCTTCTTCTGTTGAACACACAGAAGATATATTGAAGAAAGTTAAAAAAAGAAACAGGCATTGACTTTCATGGTTTGTGTTCGGCAGAAGAAAGACAATTCATAAAGGTTTAGAAGCACTTGAGGGAGAGTGAATAGTGATGACATTTTCATTTTTGGGTGAACTATTCCTTTAAGAATCATTTCTGATTATAAAGTTCGGAGAACAGTGGTGCAGCTGAATATTTCTGTGGAAACCACTATATTATTTCAGTATTCTTTAATGAAGAACTGGATTTATTTGATTTGATCTGTGTTTATTAGAACATGATTTATTTGTTTTATAAAAATTTACTCCAAACTAGTGCTGAACAATATATCATTTGAGCATCGATATCGCAAAGTGTGTATCTGCAATAGTCACACTGCAGGGTTAGATTATTTATAAAAAGTTAAAACAAAGATATTATTTACACCATGTACATGTTATTTTACATTTGATTGTTCAATTTCTGTACATTTATACTATTAGACTTGCCGGAAATGCATAAAGCACATTACAGTTACTGACATTACAGTTAGTACAAATCTAGTAAACATTTGCTGTTGGCTGTAGGTGGTATCAAACATTGATGAGCTGTTTGACAGAGAGGAACTGTCTGCAGCGCCGGACCCCGGCTGGCCCGACTGCTTCAACTCTGGTGTGTTTGTGTTTTGTCCATCCAATGAAACTTACGGGAAACTTCTGCAGTACTGTACACAACACGGCAGCTTTGATGGTAAGTACAGTGAAGCACTGCTGTCATTACTTTTTAAGTCAATCAAAAGCACCATGACACCGCCCCCCCCCCTCCAAAAAAGTATTGTAACTTTTTTTTTTTACTTCAACTATGTGCCCTGCCTAGCTAAATCCATCACTAGATTAACAACCACACTGAGGTATGGATAAAGTACATTTAGGAGGTTGTTGTATCAAGGTGCGTTCACACCAGAGGCAGATCAATCGCCAAGCGCAAGGCATTTACATGTTAAGTCAATGCAAAGACGCGAAAAGACATCCTGCAGAGCATATTGCATGAATGAGGTGGCGGGAATGACAGGATTCGCATGAATGAAACGGCATGAAGTGTCTTGATGATTAACGTGCTAAAATCTGAACTTTAGCAGACATTTGCACCGCATTAACCAATTTAGGAGCTTGCTCTTGTAGGAGCGCGATTATGACATAGTGCCTGTTGTTGGTGTCCCGAGGGGAATCCTCCAGCCGACACCATACAACAGCTCGTCCAACTGAGCTCCACTCAGTCTGAAGCACCATACACAATGATAGTATCTAGTTAATTCATTTTATTCTCATATACTATCATTGTGCCTGCTGCAGCCATGGTACAGCAGCAAAGTTTATTGATTATTGCACCAGAATGAGAGTATAGATCCTGGACATATCAGAAAACAGCAACTTTTCATTTTCCGTCACTCTTAGTGCACGATGCAACTACAGAAGTGTCAATCTTTAAACTGGAATTTTTTTTTTATTATTGAGCAATATGCTAATGGTCTAATCCAATACAATGATCCAAGCTAAGCTAATCTAAAAGTTCTCCAGCCAGACCTGGAGATCATTTATTCATTCATTCATTCACTTTCTTTTCAGCTTAGTCCCTTTATTCATGAGGCGTCGCAACAGTGAAAAGAACCGCCAACTTATCCAGCATATGTTTTACGCAGCAAATACCCTGACAGTTGCAATCCAGTACTGGAAAACACCCATACACTCTCACATTCACACACATACACTACGGACGATTAAGTTTACCCAAGTCACCTTTAGCGCATGCCTTTGGACTTGTGGGAGAAACCGGAGAAACTGGAGGAAACCCATGCCTACATGGGGAGAACATGCAAACTCCACACAGAAATGCCAACTGGCCCAGCTGAGGCTCGAACTAGCGACCTTCTTGCTGTGAGGCGTCAGCACTACCCACAGCGCCACCACATTCCTTCATTTTCCTTCACTTTAGTCTCTATTTCAGAGTTCGCCACAGTGTAATGACCTGACAACTATTCCAGCATTTGTTTTACACAGCGGATGACCTGTAGATCAGCTAAAAGAATGTAAAAGTGATACGACTCGACTATTTAACTTATAAAATGAGCCTATTTCCAAAAAAAGGCTGAGTGTTCCTTTAACAATAACCCTGCAGCAGAAACATCTCTGCATATAATAACACACCAGCAGTTTGCATGTGCTCATCTCACACACCCTGTCCGCATAATTAAGTCGCTCTTACTTGTTTGCATCACAAAATGACTTCAAGTGAAAAAGCCCAGCAGATCCTCATGAGTATTGCCCAACACAGCTGGTTCATAAACCCGGAGAGAGGAATCTGGCACAGGCGCTCTCAGCAAACAAAAGCCCTTTCAAGGCAACCCTCTTTTTCCCTTTTCTTTAGGAGCCAAAGGGCATTTTTCTGCAGCCACCTCTTGGCGAAGATGCTCGTTACGCAACATTTTATGGCTTTTAGTAATTTGGTAAAACAGGGAAGGAGCATGCATGTTTCTATTCTGCCCACAAAAAGTGCAGGGCGAGTAATTGTTTGCACATGCCAGATTGCATGAGAGGGTGATTTGCAGATTTATAATGTTTTGGTGTTAACGTTTTGAACGCGTTTGCAGCTCACCAACACAGTGAATCCATTATTATTGAGCCTGGCTGACATTTTTAGTGAGACCATAGAGGAACCAATTAGATTGCCGTGTTGTGAGGGTGGACTGCTGAAACTAATTGACACGGCTTACATTATGGAGACTGGCTGCTTTTCAAAAGCCTTTTGTTATCCCGCGGCTCTCGTAATTAAGCTCTCTGCTTATCGCAGGCTGTTTAAGCGCTACACTTCTCTTCAGTCTATTTTGGTTCATGGTGGTTTTGAAGTGACCAGTGGTCATCTTCTGACCATCATCTGCTCTGTTTAATGACGCGTCAGATCTCTTATGGTGTGGTAATTTGGAATGATTGCTTTATTTTTAGCTGGACGGTTTGTCATAACAGAGATTGCTTGAACTCTTCTTGACTGTTGTCATGTTGTTTCTTTTGGTGTTATTTGCTTAGTGAAACTGAAAGGGAAGAATTTAAGAACATAAAAGGACAATCAGAATGAAAATCAGAGTGTATTTCTGTATAAAAGATGACAGCGATGAGTGTTATTTGTTTGATTGCTATAGTTCAGTGCCTCCCAAAGGTTTGAAATTGGGATGGTAGCCGGATTAAAACACCATTTGACCACATCATATAAATAGATAACTATATCCGACAAACAATATATAATGAAACTTTTAACAATAATTTTATTTATTATACATTGTTATACACAGTCTCTTTTCAATGGGTTAAAGTAAAAAAAGGACATCCACAATTTCTCTTACTTTTATTCTATTCAGGAGCCATGTGCACCCACTGACAGATCAAATCTGCTCCTCTCTTTCTTTCAAGTTCAAAGAAAATTGCCTTTGTAATATATAACATCATGAAATTAATTAAAAAATCAACAAACGAGAAATAAATGACAGAAAAATTCATAAAAACAGACCATATCTCTAAAAATGATCATAAATAATAGTCCTCTGAGTAAATAGTAAAGTTTTTCTGAGTTATTTAGATAAAATATATATTAATTTAATGTTTCTCTCGCTCTCGTGACACTGCAGTCAGTTGCGAAGCCAAGCAAAAGTAGGCTTAAGTAAAAAGGTAATGTAAAAGCACAGACAAGCTTTAGAAAGCAAAAGTATAAGTTGAATCCTGGACATTTTATGAGATTTATAACCCGGTCGGAAGAAAGTCCCAAAAAGGCGCACCTCTGTGAGTTTGCAGAGCTTGTGAGACTGTGGGAGTGTTGACAAGTCATGCGCACACAGAATGAAACAGGTAACCAATAGAAGATTTTCCACTACTTAATCAATTGTGAATGTTTGGTTATTGGGAAGATACAAGAAATGCAAAGGATGTTAACAACGGTAAAAAAAAAAAAAAAAGAAGAAATCACTAAATATTATTGGGCGGCCGCTAATAAAACTGGGTGGCCCGCCCAAGTAAAGTCTATGCGTGGGAAGCACTGCTTACTGTAATTAATTTACTTATATTCTGAAAAAGAGATTACTTAACAGTCTTATGAACACCCCCTACAAGTAACGCACTGCCATAAAACCTTTATAATCATGACATGACACCTAACGAAAATTAATGAGATTTTATGCAAGCTTATGTCATTAAAGTCCATGTGAACCAGAAGTTTTCCTCTCTCCTATGCACTTCTGACTAAAATGGAATATTGAGTAGGGGGTGGGGCTTTTTTTGCGAATCATTCCTTTTTTGCAAACTAATGGTAAGAGGGGCGTGGCTAAGAATATTAGCCGTCAAAGTGATGTCAACAGAGAAGTAACGCCGCCACTCCAAACAAATAGTCCAATTTTGATTGAAGATCACCAAAACACAAGTTTTTTCAGTGGATTAACTTAAATAATAACAATGTGCACTGAAAGATGTTAATAAGCAAAATAATCATTGTGGGCAGAATTACAATTTCAATACTCCACTGTTTAGAGCAAGGTAGGGCCCCAAACTGATACTGTTCAGGGCCCCGGGATGTACAGGGCTGGCCCTGATCGGCTGGGTGGGTGTTGAGTTACATGTCTTTGGACAAATATGATGATGTTACACTTGTCCTGAGAGTCAACACTCCCAAAGAGCATCTCATGCTTGCAAAAGCCACTGCATGCTCGTTGCGTTTTTTTTACTGAGGTGCAAATTTTTAATTATATAAGACAGAATTTGCTGTGGTAGGAAAAGCCACTGTGGACCTTTTGTTTTTCTTTTTGATATTAGAAAGGGATGAGTTTGTTGTCATCCGCTGTGTAAAAACTTGCTGGATAAGTTGGCGGTTCATTCCACTGTGGCGACCCCGGATTAATAAAGGGACTAAGCCGACAAGAATGAATAAATGAAAAAAATTAGTTTGTTGTCTTTAACTCCCGGACATCTCTGAGTTTATGCAGTTACATAAGTTTATTTCTCATCTTTGGACTGGAAACTTAGCTATCAACAAACAAGAGTGTTTCAAGAGTGTTTCTGCATCAGAAAAAGAAACCGAGCAAATCACTTCCAGTCCTCGTTGGCCGCTCAGACACCAGGCATCCCAAAAACAAAGCATCAGTTTGTTCACCCATACCTGCAGGTTTCAAAGTATCCGTGCACCAGTGAATCGAACAGGCATCCCTCCATTTCCTCCATTATTACAGCTCTGCGGACCCGAGGCCGTCACATGCTCTCGTTCTCATCCTCTGCCAATGTAAACCAGCGAGGGAGCGTTCGCATTCCTGCAGCATTCAGATCATCCTCTCAAAATGAGCTCAGAGATGTTTGTAGAGCCCCATGCAGAAGTAAAGCCCCGCAGGAGCATCTGAATTCTGTTTCTGGGCTCCTGAGGGCACACCCAGATTAAATGACGGCGGGTTGGTTTAACTGGTATACCGGCATGCTTTGTGAACACATTATTCTGGTCAATCTGTTAAAGGTACGTAGAGTTATTAAGTGCGCTAGGCTGGCAGGGACTACATTTCTTCATTTCCTCATAGCGTGCGCAGATGTTGATGTGTTTCAGAGCAGAGGATGGCAGTGAATTATAAGAGCAGTCCAAACAGAGGTCACTTTCAAACATGCCGCTTTCTGTTGACCCAGGGCAGAAAATTCATGTTCTCCACTCAAAGATGATCCAAATCGTTTAGAGGAGCTTTGAAGGACACTTATGACGAAAATCATATTTAATGAGCTGTTTGGACAGAACTGTGTGTAGGTATAGTGTGTCCACAGTCATATTAGGGTGATATAAAGACAATATGGTTTCCGCTACATTCATTCTTCCATGACAGGGCGCCACACCAAAATTCATCCCGCCATTACAGCTTCTCGTTCAAATCATTCAGTCATTGTTGTTGTTGTTTTTTAAAAGCGGGTTATAATGGCACCAAAACGCATTAAAATGTAAGTGAATTATAACAGCGCAAGCTTTTCTGTTACCGCAGCAGTGCTGTGCGTTATTTGCTTAACCCTGACTGACAGGTGCGTGATGCATGAGGCCAGCAAACACGATGTAGCTTTCAGTTGAGATGACCAGTTTCCATAATTATACTTTATTTATAGATAAAGGTCTGTGGTTCTGCATACAAAGACTTTATCTTGCTGGAGTTTATTTATTTGTATGTTTGATAATTTATGTATTTATTCATTATGAGTTTGTTTATCTGTTGTTTTAATTACTTAATAAATAACACAAAAACCTATTGATTCATTTATTTATTACAGCTTAGTCCCTTCATTAATCTTGGGGTCACCACAGCAGAATGAACCGCTAACCTATCCAGCACAAGTTCCACATTGCAGATGCCCTTTAGTCTACAACCCATTACTGGGAAACATCCACACACACCCCATTCACACACATTCACTACGGACAATTTAGCTTACACCCACGCGAACATGGGGAGAACATGCAAGCTCCACACAAAAACACCAACTGACCTAGCCGGGGCTTAAACCAGCGACCTTCTTGCAGTGAGGTGAATGTGCACTACTGTGCCACCCTATTAATTAATTCACTATTTTATTTAATTATTTATTTCTTTGAATTATTTTCATTTAGTTATTTACAGTTGAAGTCAGAATTATTCGCCCCCATTAGGTTTTAATTTTCTTTTTTAAATATTTCCCAAATAATGTTTAACAGAGCAAGGAAATTTTCACAGTATTGTCTGATAATATATTTTCTTCTGGTGAAAGTCTTATTTGTTTTATTTAGGCTAGAATAAAAGCAGATTAAATTTTTATATGAACCATTTTAAGAACAAAATTATTAGCCCCTCAATTATCGATAGTCTACAGAACAAACCATCGTTATACAATAACTTGCCTAATTACCCTAACCTGCCTAATTAACATAGTTAAGCCTTTAAATGTCACTTTAAGCTATGTAGAAAAAATATCTAGTCAAATATTATTTACCGTCATCATGGCAAAAATCAAATAAATCAGTTATTAGAAATTAGTTATTAAAACTATTATGTTTATTTTATGTTTATGTCTCCATTAAACAGAAATTGAAGGCAAAAATAAACAGGGGGGCTGATAATTCAAGGGGCCTAATAATTCTGACTTCAACTGTACACATTCATTTTATTTGTTTATTCATTTACTTATTTTCATTGTCTTTTGTCATTTAAATTATTGTTTGTTTATTTCAGAATTGATTATTGCATTCTTAAATATTTAAAGTAAAAAAAAAATCCACTTATTCCTTTGTTAATTGACATTATTGTATAACTGTTTGTCCCTCAGGAGGGGACCAAGGAGTTCTGAATGGCTTCTTCAGCGACTGGGCAACAGCCGACATCACAAAACACCTTCCCTTCATCTACAACATGAGCAGCATCGCCATCTACACCTACCTTCCTGCTTTCAAACAGTATGTGTGACTGTACCAGTCTTACTGAGGTCTCAGGCTTGTTAAAAACTTTGCACTAATAAAACATTAAAAAGATGGCTCAGTGGTCATCTCACAGCAAGAAGGTTGCTGGTTCAAGTCCCGGCTGAGATTATGCTCTTTTCAAAAGATACAAATGCCTTTGTGTCAGCATAGTGGCAGAGTCAAAAACAAGACTAATGTCCTATGCTAATGAGGGAGAGATGGGCACTAATGGGCGGAGCTATCCCCCTCTGATGACACGTACAAAGAGAGAATGTCAATCAAAGAGTTTCTGCAGTGTTTCCATCAAGCGTGATTATAAAAAAATAATTAAATTAATACATTTTTACCATTATAAGCTGCTTATATTCACAGACATTACTGTGTTTAAACCACTTATAAAAATGAGCTTGCATAATAGGCCGCTTTTAACATTTCTATAAGCCTGAGTGTGACTTGTCCACTTCTCCAGCAGCCCTGAGTCTCCACATGCCTCTGTCTATATCACTGATGCTGGCATGTGTTGGCCTTCAGGACGGTACAGTAAGAAGATCCACACACCAGTCACATGAAGACTAATGCCCTAACATCAGGTTACAGAGGCAGAGGAAAGAGAAGTGAGACACACTAAATCACCTGACACACTCGCGCTAATGCGAACATGTTTTCAGCTGCCAGCAACAGTATGAGTGTTGTCAGCTCAGTTTTACACCATATTTTTAAATGCACGTGGCTGGTTTTAACCCACAGAAAAGGTTAAAAAGTCAGAGCAGGTTTTAATTTGTCCAATTCTGTATGGGGATTTTTGCTCCCAATTTTCATGAGCTGAAAATGTCTTAAATCTCTGAAATATTGTTTACCATTTGTCTAAATAGGTGTTAGTGAGCACTTCTTCTTTGCCAAAATAATACATCCACCTCAAAGCAGTGCCATATCAAGATGCTGATTAGACAGCATGATTATTGCCGTCTATATATATATATATATATATATATATATATATATATATCCTTTTTTCGGATGAGACGTAAAACCGAGGTCCTGGCTCTCTGTGGTCATTAAAAATCCCACGGCACTTCTCGTAAAGAGCAGGGGTGTAACCCCGGTGTCCTGGCCAAAGTCCCTCAATCGGCCCTTACGATTATGGCCTCCCAATCATCCCCATCCACTGAATTGGCTCTATCACTAGCCCCTTTCACACATACAGACCTTTCCGGAAAATTGCCGGCAATTTTCCGGAAAGGTTGTATGTGTGAACAGGTCCTTTTTGAAAATACCGGTAAATTCGTTCTGGCTATTTTCCGGAAAGAGAAGTTGTAACATTACCGGCAATTTGCCGGAATGCTGCGCTGTGTGAATGCAGAAGGAAGATTCCCGTAATAAGCGCGTGCACGTCTAGAACGTGCTGACGTGAGACGCCTGCTTTAGCCAATCACAACATTCAGACGCGTTTACGTCCGCGCGGTTCATGAGAATAAAAGCCTTTGAATATTTTTCCAGACACATTTAGCTGCTAGAAGTTAGTCAGATCACGTTTATATGTTCTTCTTAATGCCAACTGTGTAAATAATCATCGATGAGATGCTTATGATAAGCCGTTGTTTGTTTACCTTCAAGCTTTGCGTGTGCCTGTGAAAACAGCCTGTGAGCGCCTGCACACGCACATATTATGAATCTCGACATGCGAAAGTGATCCTGCGAAAGTTGTTCACAATATTGATCATCCACAGAGTTTGTAATTTATAGTCAAATGTTTACAAATACAAGCGCAGCCGTTCAAAGCTCATTTGTAGTGAATGATGTCAGAATTTACCGGTATTTTGGAATGGATGTGTGAATGCTCTTTTCCGGAAAATTTCCGTAACGTCCTCGCCTGTGTGAACAGCGCATTTTTGAATATACCGGTAAAGTCGTTCCGGAAATTTTCCGGATATTTACCGGTATCACTGTGTGAAAGGGGCTACTGTCTCTCCACTCCACCAATAGCTGGTGTGTGGTGAGCGCACTGTCGCCGTTGTCCTGTGGCAGCCATCACATCATCCAAGTGAATGCTGCACACTAGTGGTGGTGTGGAGAGACCCCCCCTCATGATTGTGAAGCGCTTTGGGTGTATGGCCATACACAATAAATGCGCTATATAAACACACATTACATTACATTACATATTGCACAGGGGTGGTTTAGGCTGGCCACACTAAGGGTCTCTCACTATTAGAGATGCAACGATTGTATATTTTGGTAGTGCGGTTCGAATCTGAGAAATAATCACGGTTATCACGATTAATATGCATTCATTACTTTCAAAACACTACTAGTTTAGAAAATCATATAAAAACTCCTTATATTTTAATGTGTTATTTTTTGCTCCTCAGTAACCAAACAATACAGTACACAATAATAAAAAACAATAGTGCATTTTTTACATTTAAATACATGTAATAGTTTTACACTGAAAATAAATAACAGAACAATGATTAAATAAATAAACAAATAAATGGAATTTGTCTAATGTAAATCTATTGCAAGTATTTAATCATGTATTTTAATACATGATTTAAGTATTTAATCTCTTTTAAAGAGGACAAATATGTGTCCACAAATATGGATACAGTGTGGACGAGATATGTGAACGGCCCTTTATAGCCTGAGCTATAGTATATAGCTTGAGCCATAGCTAATCCAGTGTGTGTGTGTGTGTGTGTGTGTGTGTGTGTGTATTAGCCTATGTGTACAAGGACCTTTAAACTAGCACACCGTTGGCATGACTTTGTTTAGTTTCATCAGTTTTATTCCATGCAAAAACACGGTGTTGAGAAGCCTTTACGATAAATTAACCGTGACGAATTAAAGTGCAATTAATAGTGAAATCCGTTAATCATTGCATCCTTACTCTCTATGCTATCCAAACCATGTCTAGGAGAGTTTCCCAGTTTGTTTGACAAGTGTGAGTGCTTCTAATCAGACTCAGGCACGATTCAGTTGGCCGGCCCTGGCCCGGTTGGAAGAAGAGTGCCAGAGCATGGTTCACTTGGGCTTTGGCGCGGTACGCTTCTAGTGTGAGAGCAAAGCGCGCCTGAGCCCGAAACTGAAGATGCAACATCACTTTTAAGGGACTGTTTCATATGGATTTAATCATTCTTACTTTTAAAGGAACGTGGACTGTCAAAGTTTTAAGACCTTAACCCCTCACTGCATGACAGCTGCACCTTCAGCAAACCTCCTAACTCCTGCAGCACGATGACTTATGATTATTTATGAGCGTCAAAAGTGGCTGATCTGTTCAGCGAAATATTTGACTGCGTGTCACCGCATCCCAAATGACTAAAACAATATAACTTAAGCAATGTCTACTGTAAGCGTGCTCAGGTTCGGAAGGCAAAATGCAGTATGTCCATAAGGCTGGACCACATGCCAGAGTGTGTGTGTGGTCACATGATGTGCGTTTTCAGCATTGTAGTGTGGACAGAGATCTTTTCAGAAACACTAGGTGAAACGCCAGTGTGGATGTGGATCATTATCATTCAAAAACGCTGTTTTAGAACTAAAACGTATTAATGTAAACGGGACCTAACATCTGCAGGGTTATGATCAAGCATAGGCTGAGTAAATAATAACATTAATTTGGGTGTACTATCCCTTTAATACGACCAGCTTAAAAACAGGGCTGGTTTTTCTGTCAACAGATATGGTGCAAATGCGAAAGTCGTGCACTTCCTGGGCCAGATGAAGCCATGGAGTTACACATACAACCCGAGTCAGAGGAGACTGAAGGGGGACATGCAGGGGTCATTAGACCCCAGTTTCCTGCTGGAGTGGTGGGCTTTATACAGCGGTGAGGTGGTGCCACTGCTGATGGGAGATTATGGAGACCAACCCTTCTACTCCGGCTGCGAGGTCAGACACACACACACACAGAAAGATAGAGTGAGTGAGTGAGTGAGTGAGTGAGTGAGTGAGTGAGTGAGTGAGTGAGTGAGTGAGTGAGTGAGCGAGCGAGCATGGTATATTTTCATGTGGGTTGTTTTATCACTGACAGCTTGTGTATATTTTATGTCGTGTATTAAAATAGCATTTGAGAAATATGAAAAAAAATGCAATTATTAATTTCGTAAATCATCTGGATGACTATGGTGATACCTGTTAGATGTATTTACTTTATTTTACCATACTCACTTGCGCATTTTAAAAACCACTGTGTCAGCTTGACCTTCATCTTGTGATTGCAGAGATTATTTCAAGCTGTAGCCTATACAACTTTTTTTGTAATTACCATTTTTTATGAATTTCCGTATGTTCAAAAAAGCAAAGCAAACATTAAAACAATTCCTTTAAAGCTTGGGCTAGTTTGCACATCATGATTTTGCCAAGTACGATGTGATCCTGGATTAACATCTATCTAAACCCAAACAAAACTGTCTCTTCTGCGGTATATCAGTTTTAATATTCAATAATAGCCTTTATAAAAGTATGACGTACAATGTATACAATATAGGAAATTACGACAAGCAATCAGTCAAATATGTAGAATCATTGTACGTAGTCACATTGATATATTAACTTATCTTTGTGCTCAGCCAAAACACGTTACCTGAAACAAGTGATAGATTCAAAAGACCAAAGAGGAATATGTCAGATAGAGACAGGAAGAATTAAATATCACATTTAACAACTACAGTAAGACGCGATCCAGCGGTGGATCCTTGCTGATCTGTCCAACTTGTGCTGCTCTCACCTGGGGAGATGTGCTCAAAGCTCCCGCTGCCTGCCTTGAGCTCAGATGTGCGCATAAGGCTGCACCACATGCCAGTAGATCAGCAGTTTCTGAAATACTCAGACCAGCTGGCAACAACAACCATGCTACGTTCAAAGTCACTTAAGTCCCCTTTCTTCCCCATGTCTACATGCCTAAATGCATTGAGTTGCTGCCATATGATTGGCCGACTAGAAATTTGCATTAACGAGCAGTTGTACCTAATAAAGTGGCCGGTGCATGTATATGTAAATGCAGGAACAGGTCCTAATTGGTGAAATCAGGTTGCCGGGGCTATTTTCCTCCAAGTCCCATTAATTCCTGAACCACTGCTGTAAAATTAACAGAAGCCAGACATTTTCTCAACTAAAAAAAACTTAGTCATCTTTTAACAGCATAAGACAAGGATCTAAATCAAAGTGTAACTTTAATTTTATTTTATGGTTATTTTTTTAAAGTTTAAGCTACATGTTTCCAGAAGTTGGATCTGACCAGAGAGACCCCAAAACATATGCATGAAAGCATCACTGGAATTATTGTTGCACAGCCTGTAATTAGGATTTGGTTTCATCAGATATATCGCTTATATGCACTCCTAAAAGGTACAGGAGCTGTCACTGGGGCAGTATCTTTTCGAAAAGTTACATATTTGTACCTGAAGTATCCATAATGGTACTTCAAAGGTACTTTTTAGGTACATTTGGGTACTAACATGCACCTTTGAGGAACCATGGGGTATATGCCGAGCTAGTGCTGTTCCCATGCTGATAAACTTCCGGTGACCTGTTATTGTGAACTTTTTTCCATTTTATACGGTACCTTTTACAGCATCGACGTTGTAATGTTATTAAAATACATTCAGTTAAATAAACTTTGACATTTACTTGGTTGCTCAAGCGTAAAATGGGAGAAAAAGCCGTTTACTCGCACGCGCCCGTCAGAATCGAAAGGCTAGCGCAGAAGCTCCATTGAATATACTGGGGTAAAATAAATGCTCATATTATAAAGACATGGAGGTGGAAAATGTAATTTGATGCAGTGCTTTTTGTACAATCTGAGGCCCACTTTAAATCGGACATCACTCAGCTAGTGCAGATCGCTGATTTTTAAAGAAAACAGACCTTAAACACACCGGTTTTTGCATTGGCATTCAGTTCGCCGGAAGCGCTTAACCCAGGTTACTGTCAAATTAAAAGTCCTATTAGCATGCTTCGGCATATACCCTATTGTGGACTCGAATATGTACCTTTTATAAAGGTACTGCCCCAGTGACAGCTCCTGTACCTTTATTTCTGAGAGTGTGGGGTGGAATACATCGTGTGTGCAATTTCAAAATGGATAAGAATGTGCGAGGGGTTTTGGAGGTAAGGCAGATTATTTGACCAGACTGTACAGAACTTTCTTTTAAATGACCGTCTGAATGTTAATGTGGCCTGTGTTGTGTTCAGGAGGATGTAGCGGAGAGCACTCATGTTCAGCCGATCATGTCTTCAGCCGAGCGAAAGCAGAAATGGGAACAGGGTCAGGCCGACTACATGGGAATAGACTCTTTTGACAACATTCAGAAAAAGCTGGATGTTTTCCTCAAATGATAAAATAAAAAATGTGAACACAGAGAGATCTGAAAAGGTGTTCAGCTATGCAAGACGCCAACTCCTCACTGTCTGCTTCATTCACTTTACTTTCGAAAAGCCATTTCAACTGTGAACTCTAGTGTTTTTACTCATTTCTAAAGGGAGTTTTGGGAAGTGTCAGTTTTCTCTTTCTCAAGCAAGTTTGAACATTTTAAAGGTTTATTTAAAGTCATTTCTGGACATTTACTGACACCTGCTGGTGTGGATGCATGGTTATGCAATAGAAATCTTTTTTTTTTTTATTACTCATGCCATTGTAAAAGTTCCCCATTCACATGATCAAATATATCAATTATTAAAAGGGGTAATCAATGTACCAAGCTGTTACTTAAAGTATTCAGCTGGCACATGTGGTGTTAGGACTACTGATGTGACTAAAATATTAAATGGCAAAAAAATGGCTTTTTCTCTTCTTCAATTTGTGCCTTAGTGTTTTACATTTTAAAGACGTGATGCTTTTAAATGTCAGCCTGATCTTGGTTTTCATTGTTTAATTAATTTCTGTCTCTGGTTTACAGATGTTGTTAGCTGCCAGCACTTGATTCTTTCTTCTTATTTTTTATATCTTTATATTTTTTTCTTTTTGTTTTTTTGCATCTGTTTTCCATTATTTGGTGTTACAGGGCCCTTGTCCCCCTCCAGCTACAAAATAAAGCCTTTAAAATACATTGTTTAATCCCTTTTTTAATTTTGCATTCATATGTTATAGATAGATAGACAGATACAGATTAAAGAAGGGATGAATGGAGTTAAGTTATAGTATTTAAAAAAGATGATCTGATCCAATATGCTTTTAGTTTAAAAGAAAAATAAAGACATGGATCAAGACTAGTAAACTACCAATGTACAGTTTTTAAACGCTTTATGAGAGAAAAACAACACTATTCTAATAATCTTAAATTCATAAATGGGTTCACAGCGACGTTTAGTGGTTATTGATGAAACTACATCTTAACAAAATCAAACCGGTTTGTCAAATTGACAAGTGTTTATTTTGCCATTTTTATTGTCTCTTTATTCTTTATACACCATTACACAGGTAATTTATGTACACATCATTTTAATAAGCCACTTAAACAGGCTTATTTCAACAAATGCTTGTTTAATCTTAACTCAATAAATGCATGATTAACAGTATTCTTGCATAAATGGCGATGTATATACTATTATTATTTTTAGTGCGTGGCAATGATTAATCGCATCCAAAATATAATATAATATATAATATAATATAATATATTATATATAATATATAATAAATAAATATAATAAATAATAAATATAATATATTTCAACATGTGTGCGTTATATATTTATTGTGAACAGTTGAAGTCTGAATTATTAGCCCCCCTGTTTTATTTTGTTCCCCAATTTCTGTTTAACAGAGAGATGTTTCCAACACATTTCTAAACATAATAGTTTTAATACCTCATTTCTAATATTTGATCTTTGCCACGATGACAGCAAATAATATTTGACTGGGTATTTTCAAGACACTTCTACACAGCTTAAAGTGACATTTAAAGGGGCTAATAATATTGACCTTAAAATGGTTCATAAAAAATTAAAAACTGCTTTTATTCTAGCTGAAATAAAACAAATCAGACTTTCTCCAGAAGAAAATGTATTATCAGACATACTGTGAAAATTTCCTTGCTCTGTTAAACATCGTTTGGGAAATATTTAAAAAAAGAAAAAAGAAATCAATCAAAGGGAGGCTAATACTAAATAAAAATAAAAACTATAAAAATAAAAAAATAAAAATAAAAACTATATAACCATATATATGTGTGTGTGTGTGTGTGTATACATTCTACCCGAAACATACATTTTCACTTATAGAAAATGTGACAGGGCCTGACCTTTAAGCTTGCCGTCCTCAAATAATCATACACAAACAAGGATAAAATCAAACAATTCAATGAAAGAACGCATCCTTGATCACTGTCAGTTTCTCCATCAAATGATGTCACTTCCGAGTCATAGCCTTAAAGATGTATTGCACACATTTTATGTTAAATTTAATGCAAATGTGACATTTATTATATATGTGTAGTATTTTTTGTATAATTTATTTATAATTTTAAGTTTTTTATCTTTTGATGTGAATTATAACAACTTAAACTTGTTATTTCTAAAGTTTTTTTTCTAAATAATAAGCATAACAAAACTATTAAAGCTGTAGATTCAATTGGGCTGAGGACAAGGACAATGGCAGGGTTTGCAAATTGGAGAAACAAACAGAAATCTGAGAACCAAATAAATAACATTCTTACAGTACTCATAGACATCAACCATTAGTTCAATTTAGACATTTCTAATATTAAAACGTATATTTCATTTAAATAATAATTATTTAAATAAAATAAATATGTAAAAATTTAAAACAAACATTTTTTTTTCAATTATATGCATTTATATAATAAATATACACACTACACACGTTAAAAGGAAACTTGTATTTTGAATGCGATTAATCTTTGCCCAGCACTAATTATTTTATGTTGACTATAAATATTTGTTATATAAAGTGTTCAGAGCTGTATAAAACAATTCTAGTGGCATACTTTCATTCTAATAAGTAACCGGTCTTCCATTAGCATATATTTGCATAATTCATGAGCCGTAGCCCCTATAGCCCCGCCTCCGCCAGAGTTGTCAACAGTTCAAGATGGCCTCGCTGCCGATGGTGAGAGTGGCGCTCCTCGTCGCTTTCTCGGTGTTTTTGACGCTCGTGTTAGGATTCGGTTTGCCGTCGGTCCTCAACTGGATCGCCCGGAGCTGCGGCTTCCCGGAGGCGAGTGTCACCGAGTGCATCGTGTTCGTGTACGCGCTCTTTGTGCTGTACGTGGCCGTGCCTCGACTCCCCCGTGGGACGGTCAAGGTAAAGTACAGTACGAACAACTGTAACTACTGTATGCATGACAGTAAACTTATGTTATTATAACTGTATGTGGCAGGGTTGTGCAGGGTGCGTGTGGTGTGGTGTGAATGGCGCATTATGCAATATATGTATGCGTGCGTGGGTGTTTGTGTGTAGAAAATATCTTGGTGTGCAGTATGAAATTCGGTTTTGTTTTTTGGAGATGCTTGGAGATGTTTTTTGGAGATTGATATTTTCTGTCTATTTGTTTTTTTTTTTTTTATATCAGATATTATCTGGAAGCACATTTACTTTATTTATTTGTGCATTTTTTATCTCATTTTTAAAGCAGTTTTTAGTAAAAGTCAAATAGCATACATAGACACATTGGCATTGCAATAATTGTAATGTTATAATGTAATTAATAATTTTTTTAATTAGTTTTAGCTAATTAACATTAAATAAAGTTAGCCAAGGCTGACCGTACATCAGGGCCGGAGTGGGACTGCTTTTCAGCCCTGGAGTTTCAACATTAGACCAACCCACCTCAGTTCATGACTGACTATATTAAAATAACCTCATTTCCAATTCAGTTTCTAATGACACCATCACATCTTTTTCAAGAAAACAGCTGCTTTAGAACTTCAAATGTTCAACAACCCTAACAGCAACATATGCTTTAACATTAAAAAAATAAATAAATAAATAATTACTCAGGTCAGGTTCGAACTCGGGTCGGTAGGGGCCTCAACTCAACGTGCTGACCACTGGACTCACGGGGCTGCAAGAAAATAAGTAAAAAGAGCTGAGCTCCGGCAAAATAATGAATAAAAAGAGTGAGGCTATAATCAAATAAATAAATAAATGAAAAAAGTGCGACTGCTGAGAGTGCAAGCAGCTAGAGACAACGGCCCTTGCAGCCAAAAAAATGGACCGGACCCACCGAAATTCATTAATCAAAAATAAAATAACTCTATACCCATTGTATAAATGATAAAACATTTAATCTGTAAAGTGCAAACTTTATAGATTGTGAACAAATGGTTTAAATTAGCTTGAAATCTTACAATCATAATAAAACATCCAAATAAAAATCTATAATAATACAGTTCATCTTTTCACTGACTTCTGTAGTTCCTGGTTAATTAAAACCTTAATTTGATATTGCAGATCCTGCGATGTGACTTGCAGATTCACACATTGCTATTTCATTGCTAAAATTATGTATTTATACACACATTTACTATATAAATATGGTTTAACAATAAGTCAACCAATGTAAACTTGATATAATCTCAATATGTATTCTGTACTGTGTATATAAATAAATGAACCCTTAAAATATATACAGATATATTAAAATGTATAAATAACTGTGTTATATATAATAACTTTACATTTAAATACACATTTTCACAAAAATATGCATTGATGTGTGCATTTATATACACATAATTAACAAATGCAGTTCACACAAATTATACAAATCAATAAACAGTGATATATATGTAATATTAATAATTGTATCATGATTAATAATAAATCAGTTAATTAAATTGTATTTTTTTAAACTACTTTTATTATCTAAACGTTAATTATTCATACACACACTCACATGCGCACACACTTATTTATTATTTATTTAAATAATATATTTTGAATATAAATGTTATTTAAATTGATTTATTTTAGCTGATTAATGTATTTGTTTGTTCTGTTTAATCAGCCCGTCAGTTTGAAAGGCACTGCTTTAGCAACAAACTTTAGGAAATCCAGCTCATTCGAGGTCTCTGCTTGCTTCGAGCCAGTGAATTGTTGGCACATTCAGCTGCAGTTGCAGTAATGCTGTGGCTTTGTGAAAATAACATTGCTTCATGTTTCCTTCATAGGTCGAAGGGAAAGCGCTGCTCATTACCGGCTGTGACACTGGATTCGGACTCGCTTTGGCCAAACACTTCCATAAGCTGGGCTTCACTGTGTTTGCAGGTTGTCTGTTTAAGGTAACGCTTCAGCTATTTCTGCAAGGGCCTTTTTATGCATAATTATACAACCTGTAGGTCTAAAGTCAAGAGCTGCGCTTAAGATGATGAAATATATTTTGCAAGATCATTACTACACAGAGGCTACAGTTAAACACTTACATAATTCTAGCAGCATGAATACATGATCATATCCTGGTTATGTATAAGTGGTATAGCAGTACGCATGCAGATTTTCAATTCAGCCTTGAGCATGAGCAAAATCTGGTTTTGAATGCAGGCAGCAGGTAGTTTAAAGTGTATTTAAAGGGGAGCTATTATGCCCCATGTTTACAAGATGTAAAATAAGTCTCTTTAGCTTAAAATATTACACAAATAATGACTTATAGCTCTTTGAATCTGCCCCTTTTAGACTTTGATCCTAATTGTGCCATTTTGGAGACTGGCGCTTTAAATTTAAATGAGATTGCGCTCTTTTTAAAAGAGGGCGGAGCTACAGATGCCTGCAAGTCAGCATAGCAGCAGATTCAAAAACAAGACTTATGTCCTATGCTAATGAGGGAGGGAGATCGTCACTAATGGGCGGAGATTTCACTCTCTGATGACACGTACAAAGGAAGAACGTCGAACAAAGTGTTTCTGCAGAGTGTTTTGATCATGTGTGTGGTTATAAAAAATAAAAGTATACACTTTTACCATTAGAAGCTGGTTATATTTATTGACTGTTGCCATATAAATGTATTTAAACCCCTTATAGAAGTGATTTGTGCATAATAGGTGCCCTTTAAGTTTCATTACCTGATTTTATGTAAATAAAAATGTCAAATAGTGCGATTAAATAATGTGAATTTTGTTTTTTAATAATGTGAAATATGAAATATTTTATCCAGCTAGATTTAAATGTAAGTGTACAAACAACACTTGATTTTAAAATATCACACTTAAATAGTTTTTATTAAATGCATCTCTCTGTAATTAAACTGAAAATCTCAGTTGGTTTCTGCAATATTGGACTCTGCACATGCTGAAATCTTCTTTCTACTACTTTATCTAATCTCTCATCTGATCTTTTTTCAAAAGTATTTTTTAAGTACCGGTTACACCAGCTGACAAACCATGTTGCTCCTAGAGCCAAAGGCCATTGCGCTGTTGAAGAAACTGACACTGCAGGTCAAGCATGACAATAAACAAGCTCAGTTGGATTTTTTTCAATGCTGAAAAATATCTGGCAACAAGAAATCATAGTGTTGAGCTCATGTGTCATGCACTAAGTACAGTTAAAATGGTGTTTGCTGAAAATATAACCTTATTTAGTGTGTATTAATGCTGTCTGAGCATTACCAACATCTTCAAAGTCACGGCGCTCACATTTCAGTCCAAATGGAAATATTTTATTGGAATTTGCTTAAACTACAACAAACCGCTAGCAGAGTCTACTATGAGCTTTATCTGTGACATCACAACCCTAATATTCACATAAACCCCGCCCTGGGAGTGACCATTCTAGCGCTTTAAGATCATTTAAGATTGAACAATTGTTTCAGTTCACTTCTTGGATTGCATTATGTAATAGAGCTGCACAATATGTTGTTTTAACCTCAATATCGCAATGTGTGTATCTACAATAGTCACATCGTAGGATCCGCAATGTGTTAGACGGAATTATATTTTATTATTATATTATTACCAGGAACCACAGTTGGTTTTGTTTGGGTTTTTAGGGCCTGAACGCGCTACAAAATCATTCCAATCAATGTAAAATTATGTAAAGTCTTTTAAAATAGAGCTATTCATTACATCAGGCGAAATTATATTGAATTTTGCTATATATACGTCCTGACACCACTTTAAGCAATTAACAAAAAAAGTTAATGACAACCTATGGACTAGGGCTGTGCAATTCATCGAAATCAAATCGCAATCGCGATTTAAAACGCTGCTTTTAGCTAATCGCAAGAGGCTACGGTATAAATGTATATTATTTAACTTCCCCACCAACAGAGCAAATGTGTGACTGCCATCTGTGTGTGATGGTCTTACCAGCCAATTGAGTGAGCATACTTTCGTTCTGCCCAATCAGATTTGCGCAACCGAACTATGCTGAACACCCACATTAAAAATACAAACAAACAGGAAAGGGCAAACAAGTGGGATGATGGAAGCAGTAAGATACTGATTAATATCAAATACAAACAGGACATCGCTAATATGGGAATATTTTGGTATCAAATTCACAGACACCATCCAAAACCAGGTAATTTGTAAGAGCTCTCGAAGAATTGTTGCCACGGCACAAGGAAATACAACAACCAGCACCTAATAAAGCACCTCAGGCGGCTATATGAGGAGTGTCTAGCTAAAAAGTCAACTGAAAGTACTGCCAGTGAAACTCGATCTAGTAGTAAGCAAAGTACAATTTCAGAGTGGTTTGCTAATATAAGTTAATTTATTTTAAGTTCCTTTTTCTAATTACCACTCACTATTACTGTATTTTAGCAGTAAGAAGCTTATACAGATTATTGAGCTGAAGCTTGACTACAATATATATATATATATATATATATATATATATATATATATATATATATATATATATATATATATATATATATATATATTCCCCAAAACGCACAGCCCTACTATGGACAAAAGGTCAACTAAGCGGTTACAAATCAGTCGAATTAAAAACAGGCAAGGCCTTTTAGCTGACCAATCTGAGCCCACTGTCTTTTTCTGAAGGAGGGGCTTCATAGAAGCAGGAAGACATTACATAAAGCAAACCGCAGTGTAGAAGAGAGGTAAATAAAATATGTGAAAAATGTTGCATTAACTATAAACAGAGCATGGACATGTTACATTGTGTGTGTGTCAGGATGGAGAAGGAGCAAAGGAGCTGGAGAACATTCACTCAGAGAAGCTGAAGGTGGTGCCGCTGGATGTCTGCAGTGAGGAGCAGGTCTCTCAGGCTGTTCAGTTTGTGACTGAAAACCTGCCAGACTCAGAAAAAGGTGACGAGACTCTGTGTTTGGCTCATATTAACATGTTTGCTGTAAACTCAACGTAGTTGATGTACAAAAAATACACCAAAAATTGGTATTTAGAAGACTGTTAACAAAAGTCAACTTGGAACTTCAATGACAGTTTTCAACATTCTTCAAATTATCTCCTTTTGTGTCCAACAGAAGAAAGAAACTCAAACAGGTTTGGGACAAGTGGAGGATGATAAAAAGAGGATGATAAAATGATGTTTTGTGTTCAGGTCTGTGGGGTGTTGTCAATAACGCGGGTATCTCCACATTCGGGGAGGTGGAGTTCACCACCATGGACACTTACAAGCAGGTGTCAGAAGTGAACCTGTGGGGAACCATCAGAGTCACCAAAGCCTTTCTGCCACTCATCCGCAGGGCCAAAGGTAAAATCAAAGACTTCAGTGTACTCCACTCAAGTGTGCACTATTGCTCTGCTTGTGTCTACATACTAGACATGAGCAGGAAATCGTTCATCTCCTGAGGTTTTTAAGTCGCCATACACTTAAGTTTGTCTCTTTTTCCATTGTTACACCGTAGATGCAATTGAAACAGTCCTGAAATGAGAAATAAATGTAGGACAGTGCCTGATTTCATCTTTAGTCAATCGATTAGATCATTGAAAGATGGGCATTGATAACACAATGAAGAAAGATTGACGAATGAACAAAAGCAACAAGACACACTTTGATAGCTCCACCCTAAAAGCCTGATAGCCCTGCCCTAAAGCACTGATAGCCCCACCCTAAAGTCATTCTATGTGACCAGTAGTGAAGCTGTTTCGAGGGGGAGGAAAGGTTACATATTTGATTAAAGATCATAAGGACAATATAATTTGTACACAATAATTAAGTGCAAAGATACGTCGATTACATCAAGCCCAACTATAAACATGTAAGAAGAGAAAAGTTTGATTGCTGCCTTTAAAGAACTCTGTGGTCCAGATAATGTGGAGTCAGCCTGAGGTTAATTCAATTTGAATGTTAGTGTGTGTGTGTGTGTGTGTGTGTGTGTGTGTGTGTGTGTGTGTGTGTGTGTGTGTGTGTCTTCAGTTATTCTGTCACTGAATTAAAGGAATGTATTTAATGGATCAGGGATTAAACTGGTGGACCTTGGAATGAGAAGTGGCTTAACAAACATTTTTTATGCAACATTTTTCAGACAGCTATTTAAAGTTTACACTTTTAAAATGAAGTCCAACATGTTAAAACATTTTCAATTACAATGTTAAAAAATAAATAAAATGTAAACATTTGTCATAATGCTAAATGGTTTAAGAAGTGCGGTGGGTTACAGAGAGATAAAAGTTTATTTATTTATTTATTTATTTTAAAAAATATTCATAAAAAGATCCTGAAAATATAATTCTGTTGCAGTGTATTTTTCATCATTGATAACAATATTAAATATTTCATGATCATCAAATCATCACATTAGAATGATTTTAAAATCAATTTGTGAAAAAAGAAAGAACAAAAATGTATTATATATATATATATATATATATATATATATATATATATATATATATATATATATATATATATATATAATTATGTAAAATTATATAATATATATAATTTGTATGTTTCAGAAACAATTGTTTTACAGTATTTTTGCTGAACCATTTTCATGACAAATGCTAACATTTTCTCTACATATTTTTCCAAAATATTTTAATAGTCATTTTATTTTTATCTATCAAAGAATATTGTGGCACAGATAAGTAAATAAGATAAACAATAAAAATATATATATTTTCCATCAGATAAATTCTGCCTTCTGGATCATAATCTGTCTGTTAAGAGTGGTCCAAGCTCTCTATTAAACTGTATGTGGAGACTCAACAAATGTTAATAATAAACGTTTACAAAGCGATGTTATACTTTCAAAAATCACGATTACAATATATATATATATATATATATATATATATATATATATATATATATATATATATATATGCCTAATATCCGATGGCCAGAAAGTGATATATTTTATATTAATTGTTAAAATATTGGTGTCTGAGATGCAGCAAGTCCAGAGACAGTTGTGTGCACATGATTGTATATAAAATTCACTTAAATGTGTGACATGACTAAAAATAGTTCATAAACAAATATTTTCTCAATTCAATTGAATAGCGGTTTGGACCTGCAAACAGTGGAGAATACACGTCACGACTTAACAAGCGGATAAAGCTCTTTCAAAGACAGAAATTGTATAGTTCTCTCACTTAGATATTTTATGTATGTCTCCAGGTCGTGTGGTGAACATCGCCAGCATGTACGGCCGAATGGGAAACGCTCTCCGCTCGCCGTACTGTATTTCCAAATACGGAGTTGAAGCTTTTTCAGACTGTCTGCGATACGAAATGAAGACGTGGGGCGTCAAAGTTTCCGTCATTGAACCCGGAAACTTCATCGTTGCCACAGGGATCCTAACACGCGACATCGTCACAACAACGGCCGAGAAGCTCTGGAAGGAGGCGCCCCCTATTGTCCAGGAGGATTATGGGAAGGCTCATTTTGAGCAGTACATGGCTCTAATGCGCTCCTACTGCAACAGCGGCCAGCGCGAGATCGAACCAGTGCTAGACGACATCACAGACGCCATCATGTCCCAGCGGCCATACACCAGATACAGCCCAATGGAGCCACACTGGTGGATCCGCGTCCAGATCATGACGCATCTTCCTGGAGCCATTTCAGACAGACTCTACTTCTGATGGGACCACCACTAATATATATATATATCATCAGCATACAGTCCATATATGTCCAATCAAGTCAGTATGCAACCTTAATTGAATAAAAGAATCGCATGTCTTAAAGGAAAACTCTGGGTAAAGTACAACTAAGAATATCAGTAACCAGACAGTCTTTAACCCTTGTGTCCTGCTGGGGAAGTTTTTATCTATTCTGGGATGATTTTGAGTCTTAATTTGGACACATCTTTCTGTGTTTCAGTAAATGAAATGATTTTTAGTGAGCAATCTTATTATGACACATATTTTGGGAAAATGGTTTGGAACTTTTCAAAAACTTAATGTGCTCTGTGCAAATTGACCGCCCTTTCATAATGTTGGTGGCTGTTTTTGCCCCATTTACCTCCATTATAATAGCATTTTTTTCAGAAACGTTTTCGTATGCCTATCTAAAGGGTTAATGCTGCCAATGATCGACAGGAAAAAAAGTTTAAGTTTTCCTACAGGGTAAAATACAAACAATCAAAAATGCAAGATTATATACTGTCATGGCTTTGCAAAAAAATGTTTTTTCAATGGGTCAATGGGGGCAAAAACAGCCACCAACATAACGAAAGGGTAGTCAATGTGAACAGTACACAAGGGTTAAATTCATTCACTCAATTTTCTATGACTTAGTCCAGGGGTCACCAATCCTGGTCCTGGAGGGCCGGTGACCCTGCAGGGTTTAGCTCTAACTTGCCTCAACACACCTGCCTGGGTGTTTTAAGTATACCTAGTAAGACCTTGATTTGCTTGTTCAGGTGTGTCTGATTAGGGCTGGAGCTAAAATCTGCAGGACACTGGCCCTCCAGGAACAAGTTTGATGACCACTGACTTAGTCCCTTTATTTATTAGGGGTTGCCACAGCGGAATGAACCGCCAACTTATCCAGCATATGTTTTACACAGAGGATGCTGTTCCAGCCGCAGCACTGGGAAACACTATTCACACACATACACTACAGTCAATTTAGCTCATTTAATTCACATGTACCGCATGTATTTGGACTAAGGGACAAAGCGGAGCAGGAAACGCAAACACAGGGAGAATATGCAAACTCCACACAAAAATGCCAACCGGGGCTCGAACCAGCGACTGTGAGGTGGCAGTGCTAACAATTGTGCCACCCACAGGGGTTAAATATATTTGTTAAAGAATAAAAAGTCATAAACCTTTAAGAGGTAGCTCAGAAAACGTCTGGCTTTAAGGGTTTATATGTTCTGACTACAGAAAATGCAGGAATAGGTAAAAGTCAACATTATTTTGCTCCAGATATTCCTTTAAGTTTAAATGTTTGCACTTTTGATTCACTTTATTATGTTTAAGGCTAGATATGTGCTGAAGTGAAAGCACACCTAAAAACACAAGCCTGAAAGGTCATCCAAACAACTTAGCTTTCAATTAAACTTAAAGACGATTTTAGCTGAAAATGTGATCCTTGGTGATTAATAAAATCAAGTCCATGATTACTGCCTCCTTAAAAGGAAAAAAACAACAACACATACATGCATATCTAATTTAATTCCTGTCTCCTAATGAAGCGAAACAACCAGTCCAACGTTAATCTATAACAGTGTTTATCTCAACCACTTAGAGAACCACCAGCTCTGCACATTTCCCATGTCTCCTTAACCAAACATGCCTGTTTCAGATCATCAGCTCATTAGCAAAGACAGAAAGACCAGTAATGGGTGTAATAGACAAAGGAGACATGCAAAACATGCAGTGCTGGTGGTTCTCTGGGAAAGTGTTTGAGAAACACTGATCTATAACATTATTACCATTGATTCACATCATTAATATGCAAATCTGAGGTGTAAATGTCTGACCGCTTCACTTCATAAGGTCTTAGTGTATTATTAGGAGCAACAAATATTAATTCAAGCGTGTATATTCAATTTTTGACTCAGAGCACTGCCAGTACATCTTTTTTTTTTAGATTGTTTTGACAAAATAAATGCTTTTTGCTGAATACACAAAAAAAGTCACTTCTCAAGGATGGGCTACGTAAACAAGCATCATATTTTCATTTTTGGGTGAACTATCCCTAAACTGGAGATGTGAACGCTTGACAATATTTTAATATAATCTTGCAGATATTTCCATAGCGAATGTCCAGAGGGCTGAAAGCCAGAAGCAGTGAAACGCAGCATTACACAGGCCCTTCTGTCAGTGTTTTCAATGAAGACGAATGGAGAAAGAGGACGCCCTGTGGTTCTGTCACTGCTTTCTCTAGAGAAACAAGAGACTGAGGGTTTAAAAGTGTTCTAGACTCTTTGGAAATACTTGCAAAATGTAAAATCCATTGCTTCAGGTACACGTTTCAGATCACAAATCCACTAGGGGGCGCTGTCTAAATGTTAGTGAATCTGAAATACATTAATTAAGATACATTTTGTTGTACGTTTCAGATGCACATCCTTCTTGTACATGACAACGCTTATTGTGCAGATCACCAGCGAACAACGGACTTAAACCCAACCCATAATTGCTTTCATGTCATTTGTACAAGTACTACATCGTACAACATGAGCTACTGAGCAAACTAACCCTGCCAGAGAGGTTGTCCATATGGAGACAGATAGGTGAGGCAAACATATTCATTACAAATCATAGACACAGATAAATGCTTTGTGGTATTTATTTGGTGTTGTGCATAGACCTACACAAAATAATCCTTTATTCACCGATAATTAGTCCGTGTAAATGTCATTAGTGTGAAAAGAAACAAAAGTTGACAGTGTCATACTGCCCTCAAGTGTTTATCATACCTAGAAACTGCAGTCAATTGTGTGTTTAAGGTCGTTTTTGTGCTTTCTCCAAAACAAAAGTAAGCTAAAGCACGTCTTTTCAATGAGCCTGTGTTGATTTATTCACTGATGAGCATTCCATTAATATTTCACCTCTTCATTTATGAATACACTTTGCACTGAACAGTTTGAATGATTATATTAATCCCGTGTATATAGCATTTGCATACTGTACAATAAAAGTGTAATTTTCATTTGCTGGTAATGTTTCTAAGTCTGGCTTTGTTTAACATAACACACTTGCATACCAAAAAGGTAGCCACTGACATCAATAGTGGAACAAAAAAATAGTATAGAAGTCAATGGCTGGATGGTTTGATTCAGAAATCTTCTTAATTTGTGTTCAACCAAAGAGCATCGAATCACCAAGAGGCGACACTCTAGTGCGATTCGGGAAACGGCCACTAGATGGCGCAGAGGCCATTTTGGAATGAAACTTCCAATAGAACAACAGCATATTATAAGTCTGTAAAATAAACTATTAAAAGTGCTGATGAATGTGATTGTGTTGTATTGTCGTCTTTCAGGTTGTATCTCAGCTTTAATGCACTTTTTAAGTAAATAAATAAAAAATAGAGCAGCTGCTCGCCATCGCAACAGCAATAAGATCTAATGGACAGCCTCTTGGTTATTCTAAGCTCTTTGGTTCAACAGAAGAAAGCAACAAGCAGGTTTTAAACAATGACAGATTGCTCATTTTAGGGTGAACTAACCATTTAAAAGACTTCATAAAAATAACAAGGGACATAACATATCTGCTTTGAACATGGATATAATTAGTTTAATGTTCTTACTATTGTTACGGGAAAAACAAATCTTACCAACTGGGGTCCGTTCTTCGTACGTGGATTACTCAGTTAGCTGGATTTGGATATTGACGATTTGACACGATCCAGGATCGTTTCGTTCTTCAAAGCTGATCCGAGAGTTGTTGTCATGGCAACAGTTCTGCTAGGTCAAACCTGATCGGGAGCAGGTTTAATTCATATAAACAGGATTAGATCGGCTTAGTTCAAGCAAAGATAATACAGAAAGTATTTACCGAATTCTGATATTTTCTTACAGTAGTAGTTATATACACTTGGGAAAATAATACATAATTTTTAAATATATATATAAAGTTATAGTCATTAATAAAATAAATAAAGTTATACATATTAATAAAACGTATGCAATCTGCACCCTCGAAATGAAAGTACAAAGACTGCCATCTGGTGCAAAGAGAAAACTTATTGAAATGAACTTTTTAGATCGCTTTAGAACAAATTGTGTATAATAGAAATGCACAATATGTGATTTTTTTTAAGCAATAATACATTTATGCAGTCATAAACATGTTTTGATAGTTAATATGCCAGTGATTTGATGCTTCACAAAAGTTGCAGACACCTTTACCAATATCAAAATGCTTTTGTAAACAACCAGTTATTCTTTATACACCGATTAAAAAACGGCTACATTAATAAAGAAAATCTTTTCTAAATGTAGAACTAAATGCATTGATTTGCATTGAAATACATGATGAATACTCTTGTCTTGACAAATGAAAGTGTAAAGCCTGCAGCTCACAACAAATGTGGAAAGTTCTTGCGTGTCATATTTAACAAACCATTTACTGCTAATTTGATGTAATTTTGCTCACATGGATAATTGAATATTAATCAGATGATGTCATTACGCTGCTATGCCGTCAGCCAATCGTTGCATTGCTGATCATGATTTCGAGGATCGATAGATCTGTCCTTCATAACACACGCAGCGATCTCAGATCAGTTTATCCAGACATTCTAATCTGATTCGTGAACTTGTTTGAAGAACCAAATTAGCGAGAGATCAGTTATCAAGATTAAAAGATCCAGGATCTGCCAAATCATCTTAGATCATTTAAGCGAGGTACGAAGAACGGACCCCTGAAGTGTCAGTCAGGGATAACAAGGTTAGTTGTTGTGCTTACAACCTTGATTGAGCTCTAAATAACATGCAGACACCATTAGAAATTGCTCTAAAGACTTTGGCATAATCTCCAGGAGACACAGGAATTTAGTATTGTTCTAGAAACTCATTATAAGAGTAAAGACATGCAGCCCTGTTGAATAACTGATCAACACAAATAATGTTATTAAACAAGTGTCACAACACCCAATAGCATGTGCACGTCAGATGTCGTGTCACTTCATGTTAAATCTGCTTCTCCCAATACTGGGAAACACCCATACATACTCCAGTGATGGAAGTGAGGTTTTTGGCAGGTGAGGCACTGACACTTTCAGAGTC